CAGGAACACTGAGGGAAGCTTACCCTCCGCTCTCGGTAGCGCTTTGTCATTGGCTTTCCATAGCCTATGGCATTTGGAGTGGCCACGCGCTCGCCTGTATGTCCCGGAGAAGGGAAAGGCTTTCCTGCACGCTGCAGCTGAACGTGGCAGCAGCTGTGTTCCTGCGAAAACATCATTTTGACACATTTGTTTTCTTGTCTATCTTCTGCACAAGAGATATGACTATTGTCTCAAATGAAAATATCCCACCAAGTATACACTGTAGGCCACGTTCAGATGAAGTACGCAATCATGCCTCCCACTTCTTCAAGATATGGGCTGTGTGTGTAAAAGAGATATCATCACAGCGCACATTATCATCCTAATCACCTGTTAAGGACCTGGCTTTGCTGGATCCGGACGATAACTTCACGGTTAAAACGGTCTGTGGCTATCACCGTCATCCAGTAAAATTTGTCTTCAACGACACTCCATTAAGCATACTTCTGGAGGCGTTCAAGAAGGTAATCATTGCATGTGGCTGTGGTGTGGTGAACTTCTTAACATCGGCATTTCCATCGCATGCTGGAGCCGTCTAAATCGTTTATCTTGTGCAGACCGGATATTTCAAGGGTGAAGGCCATTTGGCGATGGTGAAGAAGCTTGTCGGCACTGAAGATCACGATCCATCGTATGAACTGGTGGGCGTGGTCACTCTAGAGGACATCGTTGAAGAGATATTACAGGTACCGTATTCCTTTTGAGAATTTAGGCAGTTCTTAAAAGATGATAGTACTTCCAGGCCGAAATAAACGACGAGTTCGATGTTGTCTCGGACAATGTCAATAAGATCAAACGGAAAAACCTCCACGTAAGAGCGCTATTCTGATAAGAAGTAGTCAAATTGTTAGAGGGTGAACGCCTCATAGCTTCACGATCAACCGCGATTGTCTGTTAGCCAGTCAATAAGCCCAACCTCAAGTAGGTCCTCAGTAACTCGTAATAAGTGAATCTTCTTTCATTGAGAATTAGGGCAACTAGGGTTACCCAGTCTGATAGGGGTACAGCTAGCATACCGAGCCTTGGGCTGCCTTGTGCAGTTATGATCCCTACAACGATAGATCGTGTGACTGTGTATGACTCGGGGCGCCACCAGATCAGGTTTTCCATCACTTCTATCGGGCTCAAGACGGCGTCATTGGCGAGAAACGAGCGACCCAACTGCGCTGCGATCCGCGCCCCGTCGCACGCCCTATCGTTTGCAGGGATCATTACTGTAAGCTCGCCAAGAGTGTCCAGTAATTCAGTGGACACGCTGGGGATCCCAGCTAGAGGGGGTCGTGTTTAGTCTCGGCTACCCCTTCCTCTGAGCCTGCTCGAGTAGCGGCAGTTTTTCGGGAAAAGCGAAGGAGCTTCTGAAGAACTACGGAATAATGATAGAATGTTGGGGAAGAGAGTCTTACCGGAGAAATAATCATTGGAAAGGGGTCGTCGAATACTTTCCTCAACGACAGGACGTACCCTGGCGGTATTTTTCCTCCCATTTTGGATTGAGTAACTCTTGAGAGCAAGCCTGAGCAAAGTAGGCCGTAGAAGTTAAGATTCCCCCATGTCATCGAGCGGACGTATCACACCTTACCTCACCTCTTATGTGTCTTGTTATCGGTTTATTGATATTTCGTTTTAGCAACGTGATATATCCAAAATGTACGACAAGGAGGCGCCTCAAATACAAATTTCACTTCAAGTGGGTGCTTATGTCCTCAGACAAAAGTTCATCGACAACTAATCATAAAATTCACTTTCAATTTTTTGTGGAAAAATTTCTCATTCCCAGATTCAAATGGTCGCACTTCAATGGCTTGTTGCCAATCAAGAAGCATTTTCAACAAAGCACATCGACAAAAATGTTTTGGAACGACTCATTCGCAACAGCGCCAGGAGGGTGAGTTCAATAGGGTTCGATATTAAAAGAGCTAGGAACTAGAAGAGCGCTGGAAGAATATTCATGGAACGGAAG